GAACTGTGTAAGGTAATGAACAAAGTTTGAATTCGTTAAGTGCCCTTTTTGATTTCTTCACCTATTTTTCTTTTATATCTTTTCTTAGGATTTTCTTAAACATATCATACTAATACTTTCCATCGCACTTTCCATCATTTTTATTCGCTTAATTGAAACAAGTTGGAAATTATTTAAAAACATCTAATATAGTACTTATAAAAATCTTCAATTTAATGTATTATACGTATATTTAATAAAAAATTATGAAAACTTATAAATTTTTTAAATATTGTATTATTTCTAAAGTAATACAAAAAAATTTGGAAGCGATCTGGATTGAAAATTATTTTAATAAGAAGAAGACACACACACACACACACACACACACATGTTTTTAAAAAATAATTAAAATAAAATGTGAAAAATTTTTTATTTAAACTATGAAATTGTATTGTTAAATACAAATATTGACCTTATTTAACTCTTTTATATGTTTGTAAAATATTAATTTTTTTTTTACAAAAAAATATAAGTTTCCAATTCCAGTCATTTTTTGCAAAGACTGTACACTCAATTCTTAATACTTGTAAATTAAATACTGAATAATAATTAATTATTTATTTTGGGTATTGAAAACATTGAATAACAGTACTTTTAATATTCAAAATAAATAATTAATCATTACCGACTATTATTTCATTTATATATAAGGGAAGTTTTTGAACGTCGGCAGAGATATTATGAATTTAAAAATGAAAAGGAAAATATGGCATTTTTTTCAGTTCTCGTAGGCACAATAATGATCCATTGTGAAGAATCCTCTATACGTATCAGCGCCTGCATCCGATTTACGTTTCACGAATACGAAATGCACAGCACGGGAATGACAATCGAGTGCCTCCGCGTGCGGAGTGAAGAGGAGCCCATCAGGATGCCACGCGCGTGTGTTCGTGCACGACACGCCGCGTGTCGTTCCGCCCGCCTGGCTGCCCCGATTTTATCGTTCCGGGGGCTCTTATAACCTCTAAATGTTTTCGTCGCCTCTATCAGATCGCGGCGCCGGGGACAGGGATCGCTCTTCTCTTCGCCGGCGAGGGAACCATGCGAAAGATTCAAATAACGATAGAACGGCGAAAGGAGCGTTGGTAAAAAGTGTCGATGACACGACGGCGCACTTTATTTCCAATTAGTTTGAGCTATCATCATCGTTTTTATTCGCAAGCGGTATACAATAAATTAAACGAAATTCAATCTTACCAGCGGTAGAGCATCTACTTTGACGAATAAAATACTTGTAAAATTATTTATAATTTAATTTATATATCAAAGTTTTAACACATTGAAGTTAATAATATTTAATTTAGTATCATTTCTCTTTCATAATCAAATTACTGAAACTTGAATAATACTCAAGTCATAAAGAATTCCAAAGGAAGTAAGAGTTTTTCATGAAGGCTAAATCTTTAGGGTATAAAGAATGATAATGTTAATTTTTTCAAAATTTAAGTAGACTTCTACCGCGTGTATTTATATCGATAGAATTTGCGAATTGCAAGGACTTGCGAAATGAAATTGGCACGCGCTACTTTCCATGTTGGATTCAAGAGCTGCAGAGGGGTTTCTTAACGACATGTCGTATTTATCCGCGGCTCTCCACCTCCCAGACATCCGTTCCATTAAGCCGATGCATCTACCAAGCGCCTCGACGGGATCGCCGGGATCCAGGATCGCATTCCCCGAGCTGAAACGAACCGCACGCGTGACGGTATGCGTAATAATAGTAAAACTGAATGAATCCACCTCAGTCGCCTCCAGGACGCGCTCGTGCTTTTCGAGAATGCGAGGTGGTCAAGAGGTACGAGGCGAAGAGGGAGGCTTGGCTGCCGCTCAACGTCGAGTTGGCCCGGGGTAAAAACCCGAACTCGCGAGGACGGGGAAAGGAAGGGCTGGAGAGGCTG